AAGTTAAGTTTCAGTTACAATGAGGGTACAACTAGCCACACATACAACTTTTGGTTATCTAATTTAAGTAGTCCACCTGGGGTTCTATACTAGCCGCCATACCTATAACCTAACTAGGAGATTACCTATTTAAACTCTCTGGTTATAACAAGGGTACGACTAGCCACTCATACAACTTTTGATTGTCTAATTTAAGTAGTCCGCCCTAGGTTCTACACTAGCTATCATACCTGCAACTTAACTAGGAAGTTACCTATTTAAACCCTCTAATCCTAACCTAATTCCACCAAGTGAGGTCTTCTAACTCGGTTGCCCGAATTTTGTTTGTGCCGTAATTTTTTAATATTGTATTCTAACTAATCTAATTTTTGTATAAATAAAGTTTTTGCAAAAAAATCTTTTTTAGCTTATCACTACCTTTTGCTATAAAGCTCCAAATATAATCTGTTATACAAAACCAGATCTGAGCCAATCAAATTGATTTATAGTATCTGTCAAAACTGATATCTTATAGATATATAATCTTGTTAATATTGGTTATCAGAAATAGCAGGTTATCAAGTTTTAATTATAGAATAGACATAATAGATTAATTTTTTATTAGTTATAGCAAGTTATCAGTTTTGACAGGATCAGTTTTGGGAGGGTGTACTATATTTATATATATTCTATAAATGCATATATATAAGTGTTAAATATCAAGTAATTATTATAATATTAATTCAAACTAAGTACAGATTATAAATTTACAATATATACAATCTTATCTTTTGAAGTCTAACTAGAAAAGCTACTCTACAATTTATTTATTCTTTAGCTAATATATACTGTATATGGTTGTTAACAATATCATAAAAATAGCAAGAAACAAAGATATACTTATAATAAATATAAACTATTTAATAGAAAAGTTCAAAAAACCCATCTTATACTAGATAAGAGTTTATCTGTTAGTATAATTATCTTATATACTCTATTTTCTACTTCTGGTACACATAATAGCTACTAGTAAATCTTTTTTTATACTACTAAATAATCCAAGATATATATGAAAAAATCCGGAAACTAGCAAAATTAGCACTAACAAAAACAATATAACTTTCTCTCTTTTTTACAAACTTTTTATACAACCACATAGCTATAGACAAACACTCAAATTCAATAGTTGGTTAGATTTCTTTATACACTTCAATACCATCCCAATTACATCTTATACATAAACTAAGAGGTCTACAACCTTTCTTGGCAAAGCCTAGATCAAAGATAAATTAGCCTTAGCCTTTTCTTTTATAGAATACAGTAAATACTATGGAAAATTTTATTGCATCTCTGATGCAATAATTATATTTTAACTAATAAAAAAAAGAAAACAGACCTCACTTGATAAAAAAAAAAAAATTCCAGCATTAGTCGTGACATTAATCATCTTGCTAAGTGATTATTTTTTATGAAAATATTATTAAATGTCATATATATATATATATTTATTAATATTTTGATATGAATTTCGTGAAGCCAAAGCAGTTGCACATTGAGTATTCTGCATTGTTAGAGTGCAAAACCAGTTTTATAGGCAAAATTCAACTTGCAATTTGAACCACATAAACGTAACATTTGATACTAGGAAAGATCAAAAATAGATGGTAAAAAAAGGGTCAAATTGTAAACTAAATAATTTATTGATGTAAAATGATATGTTTAAAATAAATATGTAGCATTCACACCCTATTAAATAGATTAATCAGAAAATTATTCGTCTTAGATAATTATCATTGAGTATCATTAAATGATTTATATATATATCATTTCTATCACTTTTGACATTTAAATCCTTCCATTATTTGACATTGGTACGAGTGGGTGTAACGTTGCTATTATTACTAGTAAGAGACGGTCGAGTAGATGCTGGGGGTTTAGCTACAACCTGACTAACCACAGGCCCCAATCCAATAACGGTCCAAAAGAATAAGCTTTTTGTATTTGGAGTAGATGTAGAATCACCTTTATCGGCATCAGACTTCGATTTATCAGAATCAGTATTCGATTTATCAGCATCAGTGTTTGGTTTATCAGCATCAGTGGTTGGTTTATCAGCATCAGTGGTTGGTTTATCATTATCAGTGTTCGGTTTATCAGCATCAGCGTCCGGTTTATCAGATGATGCTGTCTCTGCAGCAGTTGATGAATCGTTAACTGGTGCATCCCCAGAAGTCTCATTATTATCATTATCGCTAACTTTGTTTGCATAAGTTACCAAAAGAGGGAACTATAAAAACAGAAAAAAAAAAAATGTAAACAATTTTTGGAATAAAAAAAAATAAAGATTATGCCAAATTTTACAAACTTTAAGTTCATCGACTTCAGCCAATGGTGTTATTTCAACCAAAACGCTTGTATAATTGCCACGCCTTTCATAAATACCAGGATCAACCTTTGGAGCATTTGTAATTGAAAGTGGACGACCTTTTGAAGTAATAAAATCTTGTTCATCATATTCCCAAACTTCATTGTAAGGAGTTATATTGAAATGTGGGGCAAGCAATGTAATCTATGACAACAAAAAATGGTTAAAAATATTGTAACATTGTAACAACTAAATTATGTCTTATTAAAAAATGTAAATGAACCTTGGCATATTCAGTAGTTTCATCTTTCAATGCCAAATCAACTATGATTTCTTCGTATAAAGGATTAGAAAATTTTAGTACGATTCGTGTACATTGGTTGAGAATAAGTTTTGGTAAACTTGTTATAGTAATCTTTGGAATACTATTTCTGTATTGATAATAAATAATAAATTAAATAATTATAAAAAAACAAATTAATAAATAAATAAATAAATTGATTTAAAATAAGACATACAAGGCAACAAGTTTAATCTTAAATCTTGTGGCTTGAGCTTTTTGCTCAGGTTTGATAAGAATATGACGACATGAACGACATCGTTTCACGCGTTTTGTGCGAAGATGTATGCGTTGAGGTTGAAGTCGCCTGCCATATAATCAATAATTATTAATGAATTAAACGATAATAGAGTACAATATACAGTATTATCGATTTATTTATACACTCACTCCACTTTGTAAGGTTGGTCACTAAGTTGATTCATTCTCTGTGTCAATGTGGTAACTGTTAACATAAAATCAAGTTTGTGATTAATGATTTAATGACAATAAATATAAATTATTTAATAATTTAATACATACTCTGGTTGACATCTTTCAATTGAACTAAATCATGAACTAAACTATCATCACTCTCAACTTTTACAATAGCATCATATTTTGCAACATCATCAGACTTTTGTTGTGGATGAGTAAATCCACCACCACCATATCGATTACTGAAACTGCTTATTCCTGGAATCGACAACAATGAAGAAGGAAGTGTAGTAGATGGAGCACTGAGACGTAAATGCTTTTCAAAATGATCTTTGAGATGATCAAACTCTTTAACATCAGGTCTTTCATCTTCAGTTTTTTGAAGTTGTACTAATATCAAATTGAATTAAATTATATTGAACAAATTGCAAATTACGAAAAATCAAGGATTTATTATTGATAAATAATTACAAGCTAATCCAGTTGCCTTTTCAAAAGTCATCCCTATTTCTTGAGAGTCCCAACGACAAACACCACATGAAAGATAATAAGGAGCACCACTTGTTGTTGATGCGGAGGAGTTAGAAGGGGCAGAGGTTTGCGGTGGTGGGGGTTCAGTGGAAGCTACAACCGAAAGTGTATTTTGACATATAGGACACTGAAAACAATTTCGAGCACACCTGATAGTATTACATGTTTTTAGTAAACTCGTATAAAGTTATCAAGTTCTGAAGTTTTTTTTTTAAA